TTAGAATCGGCCGACTATATCCTATAGCTGCCGTATAACTGAACGATCGGAAATGACCCAACTTTCGTGTTTTTGAAGATAGAAAGCTGAAACTTAATACATATTTTATATTTGGTCAGCTAATCCAACCTGCCAAATTTCATTTTCATCCAATTCCTGCCAACTGAACGATCGGAAATGGTTTTTGGTAGAAATACCAACTTTGGTACTTTTGAAGATAGAAGTTTGGGACTTTTTTTTTAGATTTTTTATTGTAGTTTATTGGTTTTAACTGCAAGGGTATATCAACTTCGGCTCCGCCCGAAGTTAGCTTTCCTTTCTTGTTTAAAATTAAACTAGCCACCTATAGTATTATTTAAAATTTGGGCAGCACTCCTTAAATGGGTGGATTCGGGAGGAAATCACCGATTTAAAGCGTTAGGGCTCATTCAAGTATTACGTAACGCATTCTTATGCTGAATTTGACCCCCCCGTCCCCCCGTTTAACAAATCGTAACGTTTCGTCCGACCCCCCAGTAACAAATCGTAACGTTCACACTGACCCCACCCCTACCCCCTAAGGAGCGTTACGTAATACTTGAACGACCCCTAACGCTTTAAATCGGTGATTTCCTCCCGAATCCCGAATTAGTAGAACAAATAGTATTGCAGATCGAGACACGGTAATAGCGTAAGGCATAAAGTAGTTACTCTACTCCGTAAATAATGATTATGAGCTTAAAAAAATTGAAGCCCAAAACAGTCTCCAAAAAAATTGAAAAAAATTGTCATAAGTTAAATTTTTATGGCAAATTCAAAAACAAGATAAATTTTTTTTTTCAATTTTTATGAAAAAAATTGGTTTTTAATAATTAAAATTAATTTTAATAATAAAAAATTAGTAATAATTATTAAGTATCAATTTTTATATAAAAATTACGCAATAACTTTTATTTTCAATTTTTATTATATAAATTGGAGAATAAAAATTATTCGATAACTTTTATTTTAAAAATTGAAAATAAAGATTGAATCTATATATCTTTTGATCCGTTGAAGCCAGATCCAATATATATGTATATATATGATCTACACATCAATACCTTTCAGATGGTATATAATAAGTATGTATATATGTTTATCCGCTTTTATGCCTGTGCAGTATTGGCAGCATTCATAAATAGCCCAACTATTGTTGTGGCGGCTGAGAAAGAGTAGTTCATTAAATTATTAATCAAGATTAAATTACAACAATTTATTAGTTTTTAATATATAAATGGCTAATTATTTAATTTCAAGAACATTAAATTTTGCACGGAGTCTTCGGCAAGGTTGCATCTAAGATCAGTAATTACTAATTTAAGGGCCGAAAATGCCCTTTCAACCGATACCTGCGTAGCAGGCACAGCATGTGCTATCTGAGCCAGATGGTACAAGCGTGGATACGTGAATTTTTTCGACTCCCAATAGCTCATGATATTCACGCTTGAATCTATGGGCTTTGGTGAATATTCATTTATTTCTGTTGCCGCCAATTTGAGCTCGGGTTCATCATCGTCCTCAGAGTCTTCGCTTCCAGAGCTCACCGCAAATGAATTTAAATATTCATTTAATAATGAGCATGTACTCTGGGACGTTAGTTCAGGGCCATCGTTCGGTTGTGAAAACGATGCTTCAGACCTGCTATTCGGGCGGTTAGGCCGCTGAACTTAAGAGCGCATCCACGCTAACGAGCGCACCCGCGCTGAAGAGCTCATCCACGCTAAAGAGTGCAAAAGCGCTCGCCCCTCTTAGAAGTTTGGGACTTTTTTTTAGATTTTGTATTATAATAAATTGGATTATATATTCATATTCCCATAAGGATCGGCCAACTATATCCGAAGTTTGCGATATATATCCGTTTTTAACTTCAAGGGTATATAAACTTCGGCTCCGCCCGAAGTTAGCTTTCCTTTCTTGTTTTTGATTAATTATAGTATTAAAGATAAAAATTGTCCGGCTAATAAAATTTCAAGGGAGTCCGTCCGGCATTTTGTCATACGACACTTATTTGTACAACAATTGTTAAAGAATTAAAAATATAGTAATAATTAAAATAATAGTAATAAAGTAAATATGAAAAGTAAAACTTAAACTTAAAGTAAAGTTTTAGTATGAAACTAAAACTTTCTAAAAATTTTAACAACCGCCCACTAATGAAATCGAACCTGGGCCCCAAGGATAAGGAGCGCGCGCTTTCCATCTAGGCTACCCTCCAAGTTCTTTTAATGATACCTAAAATTGGTTTTAAAGTAAGCGCGAGAATCCAATACCAAAAACAGCGCTGAAGAGTAAAGATAGTAGAAGATATTTCTGATCTCTTTGCTCTCCCACTGGTTCGATTTGAACGTTTCAAACTTTCATCGTTCCATCGTTAAAACTTTCATAGATATTACGTTCTAAAAATATAATTCTCTCATTCCCTCGCTCATCTGCCAGCCGTTTGTCGTGAAACCAGCTCTTATAAAGATTTTTACAGCGGGTTCCACGACGCGGCCTGCCAATATGCCGTAGAACCCGCTTTTATAAAGATTTTTACAGCGGGTTCCACAATTAACTGAGGAAATTTTAAGGTGATTTTAAAATTTTGTATTTTTTTTTATTGAATTATATATTTTAGAAAACACATTAAAAGAATAATAATATAATATAAATAGATTTAAAATTAAAAAAAAGTGGACGTCCCGAGCTTGGTTTGAACTCGTTTCACTCTGAACATCAGCCAAGCACTCTACCACAAGGCTATACCTCATTTGTTGTCGCGCGAAAAATTTCTCAAACTTAACTTGTCGCGCTGTGAAACCCGCTTGTTCCAGCGGGTTCCAGCGCTGGTACCCGCCATAGAAAATTTTTCTTTATGTGAGATGCCCCACTAGTACTTTATAATCTTTGCCTTCAGCAACGTTGTTGTTCTTCCGCGGAAAATAGTTTCTGATTTGATTAGTTTATTATAAACTAAAGGTCAAAAGTGTGCATTGCTGTAAAGGAGAAATCTGAGATGTCTATAAAAAGGAGACATCGGATATGTCTTTACTCTATAAAGTACAGTAGCGGGCAATGAAATCCGGACAGGCAGAAAATACTACTTTTTCAGCCAGCGTTTACTTTATGGAGTAAATTTGTTTAAATCGATGAAATTAATATAAATGTGAATTCAAAACGTGTTCTTTCAAATCTCATTATGTTCTATTTGGAAATAAAACGTATACTTTAATATTCGATGGAATTAACAAAAATGTAGGCAAACAAAAAAAAAATTGTTTTTAACTATTCCAAGGTAACAAAAATTTTTGAAAATTATTTCTTAATAGCTTAGTATTTAACGTATTCAAAAATAATTTTGTTTTGGTTCTTTAGTATTTAGTTGTCTTTTTTCTTGATGGCATAAAATCTACCAAGTGTTCGTTAGTTTTCTTAATTATGTCTTTATAACAGACACTTTCCACTGTCTAATTAAATTCTCATTTCTTTGGGTTTCTTTTTGTGTATTTTAACTTTTAAAATAGGACAACGATATTGAATCGGATAGAAATCAGGACTTTTGCCTGACCAGTCTAATGTTGATATTCGATTTTTCTGCAAATAATTTATTACCTAAATTAAAAAAAAAAATACTAGAAATTTGGAACTTTAATTATTGTTTAAACAAAGAATTAAAATAAAAATATATCCCTTTTTTTTGCACGATAGCAAGGACCTGAGTCGTCCTGAAAGATTATGTTTGGGGCATGAGAAAGATGCTCCTTCATTGAGGGTAAAAGGTGACAATTCAGAACACCTTGCAACTTTTCAGCATTCACAGTTCCATTAATTAATGCCAGATCACCAACGCCATAGTAAGAAAAGCATCCCCGGACCATTCGGCATGCTCCTTGCCTGACCTTTTGCCGTAAGCAATGATTTTGTTTGTCGCGTTTGGGGAGTACCTAGCTCATACTATTGTAGGACAAATGGATTATTTTGGTGTCGTTACAAAAAAGACGTTTCGCCAATCATGTACAGTCCAAGATTCGTGCATTTTGACCCACTGTAGCCTTTTCTGGAACATTTTTTGCGGTCAAGATTGGGTTTTTCGCTGTTTGCCACCCATGAAATCCAACCCCCTCAATGTTCTTTCGAACGGTTCGAGTGCTTATTTCGACTCCTTTCAAGTGGAAAACTTACTTCTTATCTTTTTCTTTGTGACCTATTCTTTCAATTTTAAAGTAATCAATTTGAAACTTTGCACAAAGGATATCTTTCCTTTACAAGCAGGATATAAGTCGAAATGGCCGGGATCGGTCGACTATAACTTCGGTGTTTTTAGAGTTAGATTAGGTTTTTAAAAGTTCAGATTTCGTACGAATGCTATTTTTGAAAGTTGAAAGTTTGTACAGATTATATTTTTGGCCAGCCATATAACTGATTGAACGGAAATGGTATTTGGTAAATATAACAACTTTTGTATTTTTGAAGATAGAAGTTTGGGACTTTTTTTTTAGATTTTGCATTCTAATAATTTGGTTATATAATCGACGAACTATATCCGATGTTTGCTATATATATCTGGTTTTAACTGCAAGGGCATATAAACTTCGACTTCTCCCGAAGTAAGCTTTTCTTTCTTGTTTTATTATACATGAGTATGTATTATTTATATAATTTTTAAAGGGTCAATTTTATCACAACACAAAATACATTTGAAATCATTAAATTATTTTTCTCTCATTCAAGTAATGTTTTTTTTTTATTTTTTTTTTTTGTTTGTGAAATTAAGGTGTTGCGGATAATAAACAATCTCCTGGTGCGTGATTTTGCAAGATTCATGTTTGCGTATTTCAAAATAATATTCTAGGTCACGGCAGATTAACATCAAAATTTTTTTAATATATCAAAATCATCCTAATTAATTTATTTCAAATTTGCGTATAATATTATTATTTTATTAAAAGCAACTTTTTTAATTTTTTTATTTTACGAAAAAACAAATGTGGGCGTTTAAGATATAAGGATACTGTTTCCTGCAAAAACATGCCGACAAATTTCAGGAAGCTCTCAGTGCTCGTCAGGTATGTACATATTTTTGCTATGTAGAGCCCCAAATACTATTAAAAACAAGAAAGGAAAGCTATCTTCGGGCGGAGCCGAAGTTGATATACCCTTGCATTTAAATCCGGACATACAGTGGGGAGCAAAAGTGATTCCATGTTCAGAATATGCATGTTGAACCGCTCATAAAACGTAAACCAATGAACCAAATGAAACAAACTTTTTTTTTCTCGATTACTTATTTAATTTGTAAGAAATAGACTTAAATACTACAATAATACAAGAAAAAATGTAAGAGATAGAAAAAAAAAACAAAAACAGAAGGCATGTACTCAGTTTTGCACCTTCCAATATTCGCACTTGATTTTGCTCTCCCTGTTTTCTTATCACCAAAATATTTGCAGATTTACTGTTTTATGTCTTTTTCATGCATTAGTTTTTGTCATAATTCAAAGAGTCGCACATTTCTTATAGTTCAAAGTAAATTTTAATAAATTGAGAAATTAGTCGCCAACTTATTGTTGTAAAATGAAGAAGCTATCAGCAGATACCGAAAATAGTATTGTTTCTATGACTAAAAGTGGCTTTTCGACACGCACAATTGCTGAAAAGCTGAAAATTAGTCAGTCTGTGGTGGTCAAGGTGAAAAAAAGGCAAAATGTTGGTTCCGAAAATGTATTGAATGGTCGCCCCCGTCTCCTAACGGACTCTGACGCTCGACTTATAATGTCCAATATGAGGAAGGATAAGCTTTTAACACCAGCAAATGCTTCTACAGAGTTAAATAAACCCGTAAGTCGATGGACAGCTAGAAGAGCACTGGCTAGAATTGGATATGTCGCCTCTGTGAAAAAAAATAAACCAGCTCTATCCGAGAAAAATGTTAAGGCTCGGTTACAATTTGCAAAGACCCACAAAAACTGGACTATAGAAGACTGGAAACGTGTTATCTGGTCGGACGAATCCAAGTTTAACCGTTTCCAGTCGGATGGGAAGCAGTACTATTGGCATAGGCCCGGTGACAAGCTTCAGAGTCATCATGTAAAGCAAACCGTAAAGCATGGAGGAGGAAATGTAATGGCTTGGGGATGCTTTACATGGTGGCACGTTGGGCCATTGCACAAAATTGATGGAATAATGCGAAAAGAGGACTATTTAAACATTTTAAAGACCCATCTTCACAATTTTCTCGATAAGTGTGCCTATCCTGAAGGAGAAATCACTTTCCAACAGGATGGGGATCCTAAGCACACCGCAAAAATTGTAAAAGAATGGTTGGCAAAACAAAATTTTAAGGTCATGGAGTGGCCAGCTCAAAGTCCCGACCTCAATCCAATTGAAAACTTATGGTCAATTGTGAAGCGACGGCTCGGGCAATATCAATCGGCCCCAAGCAACCTTGACGATCTCTGGAGACGCGTGGAGACTGAATGGAACCAAATTCCGAAAGAAATTATAGAGAATTTAGTTAATAGTATGCCGAAGCGCATTAAAAATGTAATAGACAATAAGGGTCTTTGGACTAAATATTAATTTAAAATTTCCTTAAATTTTTCCATAAAAGGTGCAAAACTGAGTACATGCCTTCTGTTTTTGTTTTTTTTTTCTATCTCTTACATTTTTTCTTGTATTATTGTAGTATTTAAGTCTATTTCTTACAAATTAAATAAGTAATCGAGAAAAAAAAAGTTTGTTTCATTTGGTTCATTGGTTTACGTTTTATGAGCGGTTCAACATGCATATTCTGAACATGGAATCACTTTTGCTCCCCACTGTATATGGCAAAAATCTGATGTAGTTGGCCGAACATTAAAAGAATGTCATAATATAACAAATTTATTACAATACAAAATCTAAAAAAAAAGACTCAAGCTTCTATCTTTAAAAGGACAAAAGTTGATATTTTCACCAAATACCAATTCCGATCGTTCTGTTATATGGCAGCTATAGGATATAGTTGGCCGATCCTTACGAAAGGTCGTATTATTTTGCCAAACATAGCACTCATGCAAAATCCGAACTCTCTTACTCTAAAAACACCAAAGTTACAGCATTTCCGTTCAATCACTTATATGGCAGCTATAAGATATAGGCGGTCGATCCGTTCTGACTTATATACTGCTTGCAAAGGATAGAAGGGTGTGTGCAAAGTTTCAAGATGATAGCTATAAAACTGAGAGACTAGTTCGCGTTGAAACAAACGGACAGACGGACATGCTCATATCAACTCAGGAGGTGATCCTGATCAAGAATATATATACTTTATAGGGTCGGAGATGTCTCCTTCACTGCGTTGCAAGGGTATAAAAAACCGGTGACGGACTCTTATGCCAAAATATCTGACATTCATTGGTGATAGGGCAATTCAATCTAATTAAACAAAACTACACAATACAAAATATTCTTTCTATGCAAGTGTGGGAAAATAAAAAAAAAACTGGGTGTGTCAGACTCACGCACGGCAGAAGTAAAACTTCTAAGTTGGCATATTGGAGACAACTATCTGTTGATAAGTCGCATTTGATGCTCAAGTTTGCGTCACATCAGTCTCTTTCTGACTCATTTTGCCCGTAACTTAATTGTTCACCAACGCACACTGAATTTCCTCTAAATAGTTACTCAATAAAGAAAAATCAATAGCCGTAATACGTATATTGCTTCGATTTAGCGATATTGTTAAAAACTATTAAGAATATCGCTTTGTTCAGTGCGAATCACAGGTCAACGCATAGAATGTATGTAACATAGAGAAGAATTCCTCTGCGACCCCATAAAGTATATATAAAGATCAAAATACGCACATAAACACAGCATCACACCGGAGTCCACATAGCCATAACCGTTTGTCAGTCTGTCTGTATGAACCCGTGGATCTCAGAGACTATGCACACAGATTGAACTATAAGATTTGTCATGGAGACTGCTTTAATACTCACACACATCAAGATTGTTTTAAATTTATGCCATGACCCCTCCCGCCTCCGCATACCGCATATATCTGTAACGTGAGTAAAGGAAGGTTTTTTTTAAGTTTTTTCGCCGCTTGGCCGATCACGGGGAATGCCTTTAACAAACGTTGGACAAATTGTTGGAGTTCGATTCGTTCGTTTTATTATGGAATAATTACTATTCTCCGCCTCAATCAGCAGGTTCTCCAGTACGTGCTACTTGGCGCGAGTTCCTTCATTGTATGCGCCAGCACCTTCTTCACACACTGCACCATCCTTTCCCAGGCGCCACCCTTAGCTGGGTTCGCCGGGCAATTGAAGATCCATTCGACTCCTTTAGTCGACAGCTCGCCCTGGATCCGTACAGGCTCGAACCCTTCACTAAACCTCTGCAAGGATATGAAGTTTACCATCACCAAGGCAAACTCACATTTCATATTCTCCGCGTCCATCGTCGCAGGGATCCATCCTTCGCTCGATCTTGGCCAGCTCTCCTCTGGTCCTTGTAGAAATGGTGGACCACTTAGACATCGCGAACCGCTGCTCAGGTCCACGGCCTTGCGCGGCCTCGTCGCGTCATCTGCCACGTTTTCGGCAGACAGAATTCATCTCCACTGGGACCCCTCCATGGATTTCAAGATCTCAGCCTCCCGGTTACCGACGAACTTTTCGTATCTCGGGTGGGTACTACTTATCCAGTGCAACTCAGTTTTTGAGTCCGTCCATAATGCGCAGTTGCTTAGACATCGCGAACCGCTGCTCAGGTCCACGGCCTTGCGCGGCCTCGTCGCGTCATCTGCCACGTTTTCGGCAGACAGAATCCATCTCCACTGGGACCCCTCCATGGATTTCAAGATCTCAGCCTCCCGGTTACCGACGAACTTTTCGTATCTCGGGTGGGTACTACTTATCCAGTGCAACTCAGTTTTTGAGTCCGTCCATAATGCGCAGTTGCTGATCGCCACACCGTGCTCCTGCTTGACGGTGTCCATCACTCTTGTGCCCAATACTGCTGCTTGTAGTTCCAGTCGCGGGATCAACATAGTCCATTTTCCCTTGATGTGGACGAGTCCTTTGAGCGCCATATTGTAGCTCTCCGGCAGTCTCACCTCGTCGTCTCTCCATAGCAGCCCGGTCTCGTAACGTCGTCCTACTTGCTTAGTCGTCTCCTCCAGGTTACTCAGGGCCCGTGCGTCGCCGTCATCTGCGACTGACGGCGCCAGCGTCACTCCGCCAGCTGCGACTGGCTGTGCCGGCTTCACTCCGAATTTTTCGATTTCGAAATAGTCGCTGCCCATCTTCTCCAGAAGATTATCCTGGGGCACGGCACGAACTATGAAACGGTGAGCTCGCCTTTCCGTTCACCGGTCCATACACCACCCATTCAAGTGCGGTGGCTCCTGTGAATGGTCCTCTAGATCCATGATCTAGATCTTGTTTTGAGGGGTGTTCCAAGATGCGCATGATCCAGTCCAATTAGGATCCTTGTCGTCGCATTGTTGTACAGCTCGTCGTCGATGAGCGTGAGAGACGATCCTACATAGGTGTATAGGTGTCGATATGCGTGTTCTCCCCGTACAGCGTCACGGGTAGAATCCGGAATAGTAGGTGGCATCCAATCGACTCAACGCAGCTCAGGTTTCGATGCGGCAAGTCCTGGTGGTCACACGTCGATCGCCTCTCATCCTGCTCATGCCCAGCGTCTATAACTGCAGCTGACGTAGGACGGCTCCTCTCGTCGGAATCCACTGGTCGTGGCATTCCTCTCCTGCTTCCTTCATCTGCGATTGGCGGCCGTCTGGGATGTCCAGGTGACTCGTGGAGAAGGTAGTGATGCCTCATTCGGCATCCATGGACGTTGCATCCGCGGCTCTTCCTGCAGAACCGGGACATGTGTCCGGGCTCCAGACACGAGAAGCATAGCCTCAGCTTCCTCGCAGACTCGATCCGCGTCGTTGTAGAAGTGCTTTAAACTCCTTGCAGTCCCTTATGTGGTTTTGTCCCTCGCATATAGGGAAACTTCGGGGGTGGTCGGAATACCGCTCCTCCTCGCGAACAATATTTGCGTGCAG